ATTAATTAAATAAATAAATAAAATGACTTTAATTGTTTAATATTATTTATCACTTAGTAACCATGTTAATTAAATAAATAATAAATGAAGTGACCATACTTGCTATTTGTAACCCCCACATATTGCATTAGATACGGCGGGGACCCACATTTGTGGACATCGAGAGATGTCTAACACCTTCCCCTCTAGGTAATTTGAACCCTTACCCGATCTCTGATTCGTTGACTTTAGCTAGACTTAGTTAGGTTAGATAGGTGCCCTAACGCGCTTAATTCATTAGGTGGCGACTCTTCAATCCTCCAAAACCCAAAAGAGTTGTTAGGTCGTGCACCAAAACCCGTTTTTGAGAAAAACGGGGTGCGACAATCACTATGCCAGGAATTTAATTACAAACAGCAACAATACAAACCTCCGAGACACCGAAAACATCATTTCAAAATATTAAGGACAAAATATTGTAAAGGAAGAGGCGTTACCTTTCCGGGGGCAGCAGACTAGAAACGACGAGCTTTGGACAGTGATTCTTCTACCACAAGATCCAAATATTAATAGCGAGCCAAGAAGTTCAAAATCGACTACAAACAGAGATTTTTCTCGGAACCAAGGATTAGAGAACTGTTTGAAATTTTTCGAGTGTAAAATCACTATTACTTCACATTAAACTCCAATTCCCAAAAACCGTCCAAAAACCCCTCTCTAAACCGAAAGCAAAGATGGATTTTTATAGGAGAAAGTGAATTCGATTATAGGGGAAACGGATTTAAAAATTTGAATTTCAAAGTCCTTTTTTCCAGAAAACAGTAGAAAGGATGGGGCTTTTGACAAAAGAGGACGAAGGGACGGGATGAGTATGGGCGCTGCGGATTTCTAGCTGGATTTTCTGGGATTTGAACGTTGCTTGTTGGTCGTTTTGGAAAGAAAACGAGCATGGGCAGTGGGGTCGGGGTGCTGTTGGAATCGCTGATTTTCAGCGAGGAAGACAAAGTTGGGCGGTGGGGTACTGTGTATGTACGTATGGTATGATGTATTGGGATGTTTGGATCGCTGATTGTATTGTACTGATGGGCTGGGAATTATTGTATTTGCTGGAATGGGTTTCTGGAATTGAATTGGTGGGTTGTTAAAGGGATTTGGGCCGGCTGGAAAGTTGCTAAAAAGGGCCAAATTTTGGATTCTCAAGTGGGTTTAAGGTGAGGGAGAAAAGAAGTTAAATTGGAATTGGGGATATGGCCCATTCGATTACAATTATAGCCAATCAAATTTTAAAAGATGGCCAAATCAAATTAATCAGTGAATTCCGTCAAAAGTTAAATAAGACGAATAATATCGACTAATTATTGAGATTCTTAACCTTAACGAAATAAAATAATTAATTTAATTATAAACTAATTAACTCAAAAATATAAACTATAAATTAACCAAACTAATTAACCAAGTATTTAAGTAAAACTAAAATCTTTTTGAGATGATTTTTAAATATTAATAAAATATACTAAATATATATGAAATTATATAGGCTTTACAAAAATGACAAAATTACTTAAAATGACTTGGAAAATATTTTGAATTTTATAAAGTCAATTATTTCAAATCGTTTGGAATTTAAGAAGCTCGATGATTAATCCATAATGTGAATGGTCAAAATTGGGTGTCAACAACCAGTCTCAATGAACAATCAATGCATAAAACATGTCCCACATGATCACAATTACACATACTCGGTCCTCTCATGAAACCACAAATACATATATCTGATCCTCTCATGGAACCCACACATAAATTGTTAGTATACCTGCACAGTACCCGAGCTAATCAGTGTTAGTGTTACTATTACAACCCCTTAACCAATCTATTAAAGCTTAACCTTGTGTCAAGAAGTGTCAAAACTACATACTATAAAATTAAAATTTCACCTATTTATACAAATTTTTCGATGAAGGGATGTCGCTTGACACATCAGGGGCTAGGATTGCGCTGCCCTGGAGTAAAACTAAAGAGCGTAAGTATCTCAAAAAAGGTGTATCTCCATTTTTACACATGTTCTTCTCTTAACCCGACCTAGAGAGGTGTCTAATGCAACCAATCTCAAGTACTTAGTACTCATACTTGCACTACTCTTGGTGCATCTTTTTTATGTAGATCTTGGCACTAGTGGACCCTGCTGATTTTGATCGTTCGAGATTGAGTTTATTTAGAAGTTGTGGAGAGCTACCTACACTTCTTTTTTAAATTAATTTTACAAACGTTAGCTATGTACATTCTGATTAGCCTCCTAAGGACATTGTTTGGTCTGGATTATAATTTTTGAATTAATTTATTCCAGTTTCTAAGTGAGATAAAATTACAATAAGTTTGAGATATAAACTTATTATGTGATTAGTTATATCTTTAACTAAACAAAATATAAATTTGATCTCAGACTTATATTTGAAATATTTTACCTTATCTCATGAACCGAAATATGTATCTTCATTGTCAGTGTCATCAATAATTGTCAATGACAACTGTATAGCACCTTTAATGTAATTCAATCGTTTTCAACAACTTATTCTTGTGTATATACAAGCAACAACACAATGGACTATCTATCTATTATAGCTAGAACAAACTGAGATAGCAATTAAAGAGTAATCTAAAAAAAAGAATATTGAAATTTCTCTATCCAAAGTCCTCACAGTAAATAATTATGTATGATAACATATGGAAACTCCTATTTGAATTTTGATGATAAAATCTCAGACGTGGTCATTGTCTTGAACTATATCTGTACAATACAAGGACCTAGCTAGCTCTTTTTTTCTAATTAAATCTTTTAAATTCCCACTATAATATGGTTTAAAATTATTAATAAGAAGCATACTCTAGCTAGCTATACATTTAATTCTAGGACCTTCATGAAGTTACGTTTGTGCTACAACTTCATTTCACGTGCACATGAACAGTTTAATTTATGGAAATTGAAGTTCACTAATGGAGTAGTATTTGGTGGGTATATAATAACTTGAATAAATGCGATCGACTACATTTAATTTATTAGCAATGGTTCAGTATAACAACCAATTTCTTTATAGTATACATTGTCTAGTTAAAGCCAGCAAGAACCCGTTGGGCAATTGACATTAGACTATGAAAATAGGTACCTAAAAATCACGAGAGATAATTCAAATTTCAGCTAAGACGGAAAAAATATTTTAGGTAATTTTATTCATTTGTTTGAATCTTGATGTACACATAAGCGGAGTTAGGAGTGTTAAGTGTTCATATGGATTTCCTCAATTGAAAAAAAAAAATTAAAAAAAAATAAAATAAAATAATAATATATATATATATATAATAGAGGTTGATTCTTGTGTTTATTTTATACTGGTCACTGAATATACTAGTAATAGTTATTTGGAACATGTGTTGTCGCGCCGTAGTAGATATTGTTGGTTTAAAAAAAGATGGTCAATAAAAAAGGATTGAAATTGTCTCTTAATATTTTTATCAAGTATAAGAGAGTTTTGAATAACCAAATTGAGCTATATTATGCAGAAAATCCGCAATTCAAAATAACTAAAATATCTCAACAACAAAAATAACGTAATAAAAGTTTAAATTTTAAATTCATTCTAATCTAAACACTTTATTATGCTTAAAATTACTACCATGATTAAAATAACTTTTAACAGATATCCAATAAAATAGTGGAGGTATGCCGAAATTATCTTGACAACAAAAAATTAATAAGTGAAAATGACGATGGTGAGGAGATTGCCAATTTCAGCACAACACCTCTGGTAAAAGTTACATTCACCAAAATAGGAGAAAAAGAAGTGTTCCTAATGATACTCTGTTGCAAGCTTGAATTAGTATTTATCATCAACATTATATATATAATATAATATAATATGATCTATGCATCTTCTCCATAGATATTTAATTTACAGTCTCCTATGTACAGTTTTAGGTGAATAATTTAGTATTCCCTTAATGGTGCCTACTTCTACATCCCCAACTAACCACAATTGTAGGCAGACATATGTCTTAATACCTATATTCAATACTCAACCGAACACAATATTAAATTAAAGTATAACCGCAGAATCTTAGTAGCCCTATTAGTTGATTGACTAATTGAACTTTCACAACTTCCATTTTTTTGGTGAGAGCTTGATTCTCTTTGTAATCCCCTCAAAGTCGCCTCTATGCATAAGGCGGACCCCAAATTAGAGGGCCCATTTTTTAGTTATAATAAAATTATTATACATTTTTTAAAAATTAAAAAACTGTACTGCGTCGTTTCAATTTATTTGTTTTACATTTTTTTAGTTTGTTTCGAAAAAGGATGTATTTTGTCAATAATTTTCTTCTATTATATATAAAAGTGTAAGGATGAAGGCATATTTAGCGTCTTTCCAAAGGTAAGCGGTTAGGTTGACTTTGGAAAGGCTACTAAGGATCGGGTGAAGAATGAAAAACGTCCGCTAAAGCCCACGGGATAAAATTTGCAGATGCGATCATGAATCGAACCAGTTCGAAACATTCAGCTGTCGACGGAAAAAGTTTTTAAATTTTAATTTTCTACGTGACATTTTAAAACAACAAGATTAAATGACATCTTGGTGTACTATACATATCTTTAGTTTAAGACTATATGATTCGAAAATCTTCTTAATTTTTGTATGTCAAGTAAAAAATATCCAACAAACGATTGACACATGGAGTACTATTTATAGAAAAAGTAAATGTTTTTATTTTTTTTAAAAATAATAATTTTGCACCTCAAAACTAATTTCAAATATATTAACAACTTTGCATCTTAAAAAACTAGAAGAAATTAGTAAAAGTCTTGATTCATTTTGACTTTAGGCCATTGATGTGCTTGAGTTGCCCGATCCCCCTCCCCCTCCCTGTCCCACCCTCACCCACTCCCCCCCCCCCCCCCGCAAAAATAAATTAAAGTACAACTCCCCCCTTTATATAAACACTAACAAGTTCAATCCTTTTGTTGCACTACCATGGAGTACTATGGCAAGAGAAGCCTCCATAGCTACTTTGATAAAGAAAGAAGATCAATCCAATCTCCTCCTCGTCTCTCCTTAAATTCTCATCTAAAATTATCCGAAAATCATGAAGTTGATCATCATCTCTATAGTCCTTCAAGATCTTCAAATGCTAGTGCAGCCACTATGTATTCCTTAATGCCACCTCCTAGCCCTGATTCTCCATGGACACTTTCCCCTTTACAAACACCCTCACCTTCTCTCCTCTACCATTGCATCGCGTCTCTCCATCGCCATGAAGGGACCATCTATTCCATCGCGGTTGCAAAAGGCATTGTCTTCACTGGCTCAGAAAGTAGCCGGATTCGTGCATGGAGACAACCGGATTGTATAGAGAGAGGATACCTTCAAGCAAGTTGTGGTGATGTTAGGTCCATTTTAGTGTATGGTAACATGTTGTTTACTTCACATAAAGATCATAAAGTCAGGATATGGAATGTGACAGTAACCGATAATTTTCGAGGCAAGAAAATCACAACTTTACCTAAGTCTACTTATTATTCATTTCTCAAATTTTCTAGGTCAAGTAGAAATAATAATAATAATAATCAACACAAGGATTGTATTTCTTGCATGGCTTATTACCATGCAGAAGGGCTATTGTACACTGGATCATGGGATAAAACTGTTAAAGCATGGAGAATCTCCGATAATCGATGTGTTGATTCATTTTTAGCTCATGAAGATAATGTGAACTCAATTGTTGTAAATCAAGAAGATGGTTGTGTTTTCACATGTTCATCTGATGGTTCAATCAAAATTTGGAGGAGAGTATATGGACAAAACTCTCATACTCTAACAATGACACTAAAATTCCAACCATCACCTATCAACGCGTTAGCCCTAAGTAGCAACACATCAAATGCAACTTGTTTTCTCTACTCCGGATCCTCAGATGGATTCATAAACTTTTGGGAAAAGGAGAAGAGTTCGGGGAGGTTTAACCACGGAGGGTTCTTGCAAGGACATAGGTTTTCAGTACTATGTTTGGTAGCAATTGAGAAATTAATATTCAGTGGCTCTGAGGATACGACGATTAGGGTTTGGAGGAGAGAAGAAGGGAGTTGTTTTCATGAATGTTTAGCTGTGTTAGATGCTCATAGAGGGCCAGTTAAGTGTTTGGCTGCAACATTGGAGATTGACAAAGTTGTAATGGGATTTTTGGTTTATAGTGCTAGTTTGGACCAAACTTTTAAGGTTTGGAGAATTAAGGTTTTGCCTGATCATGAGGAGAAAGTGGTTAATATTATTTCATCATCAGAGGAAAATATTGACCAGCTAAGTGAAATTAATAGAATGAAGATTACTACGGAATATGAGTTAAATCCTGTTTTATCTCCTTCATGGGTCGAGAAAAAGCTACAAGGAAGTCATCATTTTCATTAAGGGGTTTCATTATACATAAGTATACTTGAAGTAGATTGATGTGTATATTATTTTGTATTCATGAGATGTATGAAATGATGTCCCAAAAGATTTCATTATAAGGTTTAGTATACTTGAAGTATTTATACGAGTGTAGTATTATTTTTCGTATTTAAATTAAAATTCAAAATCTATGTAATGATGTCCAAAAAAATCTTTGCTTCTAGCTATATAGCGGGACAATTTCATACTCTTCCTCTGTCTAATTTTATATATGGCATTTAATTGTGTGTTATAAGAAATATTTTTCATAACTAATTAGTTAAATATGTTTATTATGCCAAAAATGTCACTTTAATCTTATAATAGTCTCTAAAAGAACTTGTACTACTCGTCATACATATAAAAAAAGTGTAACTTTTAACTTAGAGAATTCTCACTAGTTTAGGAGAATTACTTAAATACATGTACGTGCTAGTTTATAATATTACGAATCTTACTAGATTTTGAACTTCAGATACATATATCTCGAATATATAAGATCAAAATTAGGTGTAATTTGTGTTAGATATATTGTATCTAAGTGGATTCACATGTATTTAACTCGCTCGCTTGCCTCTCTCCTCTATCGCTCGACATTCTCCTCTATTGCTTGCATCTTTCTGTATCTGGTATCCCAAATATATGTATCTAGTGTGATTCACATGTATCTAGGAATCTCACTCGCCTTCCTCCTATTCTGCTCTCTTTCCTTTTCTCGTTTGCCTCTCGATCTCCCTATTTTAGTGTATATGGTAGCAAAAATATGTGTATCTAAGTGTATTTGACTTGAAATCTGGTATTAAATTATTAATTAGTGAGACAATATATAATCATTTCAAACTAGAGAAAAAATTAGTAAATATGATAGGAATGTTTATCTAATTAAATAGTTTTTGCATCAAAATATGAGAATGTTAGAATTAAAAAAATGAAATATAAATTATTTACCCACGTGCGTTTACATTTATGGAAAAAGAAAATACAAGTGTATTAAAAGCCATGTTAATAATTGCAAAGCAACTTTGTGTACAATTGGTACACTAAGTAATTAATTATTATAACCGAAAAAAAATGATTGCACCTTCTTTCATTCAATATTAGGCAAAATAATTAAATATGATTCAAATTTTACTGTTGGCTACAGCGTCACGGCATTACACTCTGAGCTGCCCTTATTGTCCAAAATATTCATCAGCACGTACTGCGTGTTCACGGTTTAATTTGAATAAATTATTGATCAAATTTAAATATAAATTATTTTAATTAAATCAAATATAATTATTATTGATCTTGGTTTGATTTGATTCGATTATTAGTCATATATAAAAATAAAATCAAAAGATAAAGTGCGGAAATAGAAAGACAAAATTAGTTAGCAAACATTTGAACAAAGTTCAAAATCAAACCAAACTAAATTCGAATAAAATTAATTTATATAATCAATTTAATTTGATTTTCCAATTTAAATCATTTTTTATCTAAACTATGAACACCCCTAACTCATATGTTCAGTTGCTTTTAGATTAGAACATTGAATGTGGTTTGGTGGAGTAGATAAACTTATAAAGATTTGCAATCATTTAATTTTAATTTTTTTTGCATGATTTTGGTGGTGAATTCAATGACATTACACTGTCAGGTGAAATGTAATGACATGAATTTCGCTGAACTCAATAAATTTAATTTAAATTTTATATATTATTTTTAAAAAATTAATTGAATATATTTTTGCCAGGAAAATTATAAGGATGAAAATAAGTTTTTTTTTGTTTTTTTTATAAGGATGAAAATAAGTTATATTTAGGAAAATAATAACTCGATTCGATCTCCTTTCTTTTTGGACTATGTCAAGAGATACGAGCAAATGAATTGAATATCAAACTTAAGTAAGAAATAAGATATCAAAAGGTTGAAATGTAAGAATTAGAACAAGAAATAATAAGGGCTAAAATTCTTAGCACTTAATCGTGAAACTATGTACTACAAGTGAGAAAAATGAGATTTTGTCATCTCTCATGCAAGTATTTGTTTATAGGACAAAATTCTATGGATACTAACACCAGAAAACTACAATATTATTTAGAAAAAGTTATCATGAACCGCACTTGAATAGTGTTACATGTGATTTGATTTTGATCTCAAGATAAACTTATGTCAAATTAGAGATTGTTACAAGTTACTTCTTCCATTCATTTTTATTTGTCACTATTCGATTTGATATACTCATTAAGAAAACAAGTATTGATATATGTATTTTAATTTATCAAATTATCTCTATTAAATGATGTTTAGTTTAGATCTTGAAAAATGATTTGGAAAATAAATATTTATGCTAAAGTAAAATATGAAAAAACTATTTGTCTTTTTTTAATATGTCAAAAATAACAAATAAAAATAAATTAATAACAAATAAAAGTGAACGGAGAGTGTATTTTGCGATAGTGACTTTATCCAAGCTAATGTTTTACCTCAAATAAACATGTAAAATTATAGTTTTGAATTTTAAATTTACATATATATAGTTTTGCATTTAATGTCGATCAGAAATATTTATTGTAGTAATTTAAAGTGGATCTTTATGATTTTGTCCGGACATTTGTCCTGTTGAAATAATGTTAAGCCGTCAGGACTTCATAACAACTACTCTCTCGTTCCCTAATTACTTTTTCATTTTTGAATTATCATACCTTTTAAGAAAATAATGATTGAAATAATAAATTTATCATTTTACCCCTATTAATTATGAAGTAGATTAATTAAAAATTTAAAATTTTAAAAAAGTTATGTCTTTTTCAAAATAATTGATTGAGGATATAATAGATAAAAAAATTTATCATTTCTAAAGTGGATAAATAATTAAGAACAAAAGGAGTACGGTAGAATATCAATCGTTATTTATTGGAGTTTCAAATGCTTTTTTTTTTTTTTATGATTCGATATCTGTAGCCTGCATAAAAACTCTGACTTAATTTGAATCACGCACTACATCATTCATTCGGGTGTTGAGCTTCCAACAATTCCAACAAAAAGAATTTCATACTCAGAGCTCAAACTCGAAATCTCTTATTAAGAGTGAAACAATCTCATCACCACACCACAACTCATGTTGGTGGAGTTGCATATGCTTTATTTGGGATCGATTTCCACTTGCTTTCTTTCCACGTAGATACAATAATAATTATACAAAAAGAGTCAAAATTGCTCCTGAACTATGTGAAATAGACCATATTTACCTTTCGTTACATTTTGGGATAAAAATACCTCCGTTATTATCCCAAGAGACCACAAATACCCTCAAGAGTTAACAATCCTTATTCTTAATAATGCGGCAAGTCATGTGAAACTAGCCGTCCTTATTTTTAATAATGCGGCAAGTCATGTAAAACTAATCCCTTCACCGAAGTGTTGCCAACTAGGATTCCCACTAAATTATGATTTATGGGTCATTAGCTGAGTTTTATATTTACGAAGAAAAAACCAAAAATGTTGATTAATTCGACCATTTTTTTTAAATTACATTATTAATTAAGAATCAAATCGAGATCTTTTATCGTATTAGGATACTATTCTACCACTAAACGAGAGTACAATAAACAATTACTAACTTTAGTACATGAATTTTATAAACTATATGAGGTTTGACTGACGCCATGGAAGTTAGTCAACAATGATCCATATACCACATGTAATTGCACTATATCAACCCTTAAACCTCCTAGCCCAAATATTGTTTCCCTCATAGTCCCCCATCATTTTTCTAACTAAAATTCATAAATGGTCACTAAGTATTAGATAATAAAACAAAGAAGAAAGGTTCAAATTTGCTCCTATATATATATACTATATGATTTATAATAAATTTACATTCCGTTAAAAAAAATCTCATTTTCCCCTCATCATTATTAAAGTAGCTTTATTTTTTTATTATGTGATTAACAACAATGACAAGAAGGGTAAATTTAGATCATTCATAAGCTCAAGGCCAAACATGGATGTGGCATAATTAATAGGATATGTTACATGTCCTTTTGTTTCTCTCACTTCACCATAACAAAATGTAGCACTATATTTTACATCTTAGTTTAGTACTTTAGTTTCGCAATGAAATATAAAAACATAGGAAAATTGTTAGAGTGAGTAAAAGTCCCAAATTGGTTACGTTGGGGAATGGACTGATGGTCTTCTTATATGGACTTGACAATCCTCCCCTCATGAGCTAGCTTTTGGGGTGTGAGTTAGGTCTAAGACCTAATTTAACATGGAATCAGAGCACAAAAGTCTCACATTGGTGGTTAATGAGATAGATGAATTCCTTATAATACTTTAGCAATCCTCCTCCCTTTGAACTTGCTTTTGGGGTTGAGTAGACCATGCGCCATATCTTTACATTTTATCTCATGCAATGCTGGGGGCCCCAAAATCAAAATTGTTCATGCACCAGATGCTAAGCATTGAGAGTGAGGTGGGGTGTTAAAGAATGACAGAAGTCTCACATTGGTGGTTAATGAGATGGGTGGACTCTTTATAAGGCTTAAGCAATCATCTGCCGTTTGAGCTAGCTTTTGGGGTGTGAGTAGGCCCTAGACCTAATTTAATAAAAATATCGTGGCGGGTCTAGTTTTTTCTCTTGTACAAAGTTTGTGCACAATTTCATAGAAAGTTATTAAACATAAACTTACAAAAAGGAAACATAGAAAATACATGCATAGCTAGCAAGGCAGACTAGTAGACTTCCAAAGCCACTCCAAGACTACAACAATAGGCATCTACCCTTTGTTACAAAACCTAGAAAGTCTCTTCACTTGGAAGAGGAACATGAGACCTAACAATGAAAAAGTTTTCACAAATAAAGCCAGCAAGCCCACCACCAATCAAAGGCCCAATCCAGTAAACCCAGTGGTCAGTCCAGATTCCACTTACAAAAGCTGGCCCAAATGACCTTGCTGGGTTCATTGAAGCTCCTGAAAAAGGCCCTCCAGCCATGATATTGG